CCGTGTCTGTTTTTTCTGCTCTGTGGAAAGTATATGAAAGCTTTAGTATGTACGTTGGGTGAGGGATGGAGGGAGGTGGGCTCTGCTATGACACCCTAATGACACCCTAATTCTGCGGTCAGCTATACCTGTGTTATTTACAAAAGCTGGGAGAGTTGCTAGAGATGGATCAGGGCTATTGAAGGCCCAGGAACTCGTCTTAGATGAATTTTTGCCGTTTCTGTGCTCTTTACAGTGACTCCATGAAACTAGTGACCATAAGTGACAGCTGTGACTGCGTTTCTGGTGGTGACTGGACTTGAAGTCCCAGTGGGCTGCTGGAGAGATTTGCTGTCATTAGATACTCCTTTCAGCCTCTGGCCAAGCCCTCCTTTACGCTGACATTGAACACGTTTAGATGCTCTGTTTGCTGTCCATCTGCTGGGGGAAGTGTCAAGGTGCAAGTCAGAGCCTGCAGCTTGCCACAGCGTCAGTTTGGACTGTGACTGTGCCTCTGTACTTGCATGGTGCTTGCTCTGAGCAGTGCAGGAAGAGCCAGAAGCAACTGGATAAAACAAAACCTGGTGGCCAAGCAGCACTGTTGTCAATGTGAAAATGCCAAACTACCTACCCCTGCTCTCAGTTTCCCTGTGTCACTGGAAAACTGTGAGTGGTCAAAGCTGAAAAGAATTAGTTGTTCTGCTCCTTGGTTCAAAGGAGCTGAAGAGAATTCTAGTTTAGTCTGTGTGCTTGTGGCTAAATATGTTTATTATAACGGATGTGTGCGACTTTCTGAGAAGTTAACACGTCAGTGAAGGAACAAAATATCTACATGCTATATTAATGTATCTATTGTTTTTACATTCACATGTTAAGCATTAATATGTGTACTGTTTTCTTTTTGATTTAGAAAAGTGCTTTTCTGTTGAGTGATGGGATAATACGCAGGAAGATTTGGATATGTACGTGCATTAAGGGCTATTGATAAAAGCATTTGGCTTACAATCATTGCTGTACCACATATGGCTCAACTGAAAATATTTACTGTTGATGAGTTTCTAAATTTATTTTGGCTCAAGTGGACAGATTATATGAATGCTTTGATCTTATGGCTGTGGATACTAGTAAAAGAAATCCATACAGTCTTTTGTTTTTTTTCTGTAGATTAACAACTTGCTTCCCAACAGGCACTATGTGAATGGCCTGAAATACTTCAACTGTGTGTCATATTTGGAAATGCTGCTTCTGGTGATTAGAAGCTGTTTGTTGGCTAACAGTGTATATGGAAAATGCAGGTTTTGTCTTTCATAGCTCCCTGCTCTCTCTCTGTTACAAGGGTAGGTCTGTTTGTATTGAATGCAATGATACATTCTATTTATTGACTTAAATTTAATGAATTTTTATTTCTTTCATTCTACTCTAAATGCGACACAAAAAAAATATATTTAAAAATTATATTAGAACAGGCTGTGTACTACTTACTGGTAGAGTTTTGTGTATGAAATGGCACCTTTTTAAACAAACGAACTTTAAAGTCAAATATCTCTCTGAAGCGGCACCCAATGATGACAGGGAAGGTCTGTGGCTGTTGAATATGTTGTGAACCAAGGATATGAACAGTGTTATCTCTGTCTTGGTCAGTTCTGAGCTGAACATGGTACCTGGGCTTCTGACCTGTGATCCTGGGCTAGAGCCTGCAGAGGAGCTCTCAGCAGCCTGGCTCTGGTTTTTGGGTGCTGTGACATGCTGGGTCCTGGCTGGGGAACTACATTCCTTCATGGAGTGTAACTGCACCTATTCTCCTAAACTCATGTATTGAATAAATGGCAGAACTGGAAATACCATGAGTTTGAGCCCCTGCCAGCTCCCTTTTAAGGTGAGTGTGGTGAGGTGCCTGCTTAAGCAGAGCTGCAGCCCCTGTGTGCTGGGCTCTTGGTGGCACACACAGCTGTGCTTCCTGTTCTCGAACTGGAGCCTTCTACTCCCCAGCCAGGCTTGAACCCCTGCTGAAGCCCTGCTAAATGCTCAGCTGAGATCAGCTGTTGAGGCAGCCACATCCTGGCAGTTAAGCTGGTTTCTGTCTCTTGGTCCTTGTCACAAATACAGCAAATGCTGTATTACCCTGGCTAGAGGGAGCCCCACAGGTAGCAAGCAGATGATCCCTACCACAGATCCTGCTTCCATCAGCTCCTGAGCACAGAGATCCATACCTGCAGGTACTGGGTTACTACCAGGAGGCAGGGCTGGAAAATCAGATGGCACCTCAGCTTCCAAATTGTTAATCATCTCTACCTGGTGAATTTAGATACTCTGGCTATTGACTGAGTCATTTGGCATCAAAATTTCCTTGTGAGGAGAGAGGAATTTGTTGCAGCAATCTATCTGCCATAGTGGCTGTTCGTTGTCTGTCTTGGTAGCACAATGAGATCTGAGCTCCTCTGCCAGCATGTAGGGCATAGTGCTCAAGAAAGACTTGGTTATTTTTGTTGTATTTAATGCCTTGTGTATTTATTTCCCTCACATTTCCATCCCCCAACCTGTTTAATAAATAAAATCTGTCCTATGTGAAATCACCGATATGTTTATTTAAACTGAGGTTCTTTTTCAGGGCAGAATTTGACAGACTAGATAAAGCATAAAATGTTATGATGTTGGTTTTTTTGTTCTCCTAAGGAATGCAGTTCTTTCCTCCTCCTGCTTTCACTTCTGTATTTCAAATTGGTTCTCAGGGTGGTTTAAAAAAACTTGGTAATTTGAATAATTATAAAAGGATCAGATAAAACACCAATTAAGGAAAGACAAAGGTTCAACCAGTGCTTAAAAGCTGCTCTTTCCTATTCAGATGTCTTATTCATGCAGTCTCACCCATTAACACCATTATTCACCTTTCACTAGGGACAGGACTGCAGGCATATTTCATGTATGCCTCTTTTCTTGGCTCTGAATTTTCACTGCTATTTACAGAAACACAAGAGTGGTGACTCAAACTATTTTTTCAGTCTTTAAACGTCTCAAAGACGATCCACTCTTGTTATTTTGGCCATATGAACTGTCTTTGGAGGCTTAAAAACTGCAGTAATGAACTGACTTGTACATATATTGATGTAAGGTGCAGGCTATCGAAATGAGTGTAATCAGACGACATCTCACTAGGTTGTGCACTGTGCCCTAATCTCGAAAAGCAGGGAAAGACCCGAAGAGCTTTGACAGGAATGAGGATTATTCCTAATGTCTTCTCTGTTGTCACAGCCTCCAGCTCAGCTGCAGATTATTTCAGGGGGAAGGTGGGTTCAGGGGCAGCAACCACTGCTGATAGGGCCCAATGACTCATTAACAGCTATGTTAAATAATTAAAGTGAGGTGACTGTGCTGACCCCAGACTCCAACTACCTGGCCTTTGAGCCCGATTACTTGCATGTTGGGGTGGGTGCCCTCTTGTGCAGAGCTCTTAAAGTGAGTCTGGGGAAGAAATGGTGCGTAGCACCTAGGAAAAACCAAACCAGTTTTCTCATAAATGGGTTTGAGCTATTTTGGGGTTTACTTTTTTTTAGCTTACCAACAAAAGGGGATGTACACCATAAACTACACGAATTGAACCGTCTCTAAGATGACTGCTAATATTAATGGTAGCCTGTGTTTCTCGTGATGGATGGATTCTCTGGAACATAAATGTTAGCTTACATTAAAATAAAAAAAGTAAAAAAAATATTTTTAAAAAGCTTACTGCTTCAAAGTAAGACTGCTACCAGTTTCTGTTCAGATCGCTTCCACATTATGACACAGACTTTACATACAGAATCACACCACTTTTAACCCACCATAGACCCAGGAACTGGATAAATATCAAGTGGCTGATATTCTAACTGAACGGATCTCTTCAGTATTTCTCACAGAATAAGCACGGCAAACAAGGTTCAAGGAGAGCTTCCTCATGCAGCACATGTGTGAGTGAACTTCTTAACCAACCAGCTGTAATGATTTACCTACACCAGACCTTTGCCTTAACCTTGTTCCTGGAACAGTTTAGTGTCAAACACTCTAGAAATAAGGGGTCAGCATTATTATTGTTACAGAAAATTTCAACCCAGATGGCTAATGTTTGCCGAAGTTCTGGTGCATGACAGAAAGATCTAGTCTCAAAAGGGAAAGTGGTAATAATCTTTACTGGGGATTGTACTGGAATATGTGCCCAGAGAGAAGCTGCTTTGAGAGCCTTCTGCCTATTGAGAACATAGAAACACATTCTTGTGGGGCAAAACTATCCCTCCTGTCTTAAAAACTGTGTGAGTGAACTTTAGTGTAAAGGAATAGCAACATGTGTAAAAACTAGATCTGGTTACTTCTCACTAAATGAGAGGGAAGGAAGAAAAAAGCTTCACCAGTATACTGTTTTGATTTTTTTTTTAATGACGAAGTGTAACAAAACCACACAACCATGAACAAGATAATCGTACACAGACATTCAGTAACTTCAGACATGTTAGTCTGTAACTAGTGTGTGAATGGACCTCAATACGTGTTCCCTCCTTGCTCTTCCTCCCTCTCTCACATGAAAGATTCAAATACAGTGCAGCTCTGAGCCACTGCTCAAAGTCAGTAGAAATATTTTTGTTACCTTCAGTAGGAAATGTATTAGGCCATGCATTGAAATACATGATTTTTCTGGCCTGTTTTAACTTCTTGTACCTCAGTGTTTGCTCCCATTGACCAGGATACCTATCCTGACTATCAGATTAGGTGGGGTTTTTTTAACTAGCAGGAATCCTCTGAAAGTTCACCTATTCTTCCTTTTGATATGACTGCTATTTTTCAAAGGCTGTTACTTGATTCAGATGTTAACATTTACATGATCCAAGATATGGAACTTCAATTTACAATCTAGTAATTGAACTTGATAGTGCAAATACAAAACTGGCAATTAAGTGGATAAAAAAAAATTTCTTACAGGACAACTCTGTTCAATCCTTATTATTTCAGGACTCCTTGGTAAATCCTGTTCAAAAAACAGGAAGGAGAACACAAAGGAGAACAGACTTTTATAATTCATTGTGTTGAAGACCTTGAGAGATTCTGCTGGATAAGTCTTGCAAGTGCTTCTTTACCTAGCAGGAAAACAAAACACATCAAGCAGATTTTAGTAAGACAGTGAGTTATCAATATCATGTATCGAAATTCTGCTATCAGTATATGTGACAACAGGAAGAGCTGAGACCAGGGAGATCTCAGGCATTTTAGAATTAGGTCTATAAAAAACAATTATGTGTATCCTGCACTAAACATGGAGCACAAGTTTGCCTTAAAGTCCCCCTGTGAAAGTAATTAAAACTGCATGAAAAGTCGGCACTGAATAATCTACTATCCTCTACTACGGAGTTAAACTTTCAACAAATCTGTAAAATAGATATATACAGACCTTATAGCCTAGTTCTTTTGTCTTTTCTTCCAGCATGGCGTATTTTTCTCTGTTTCTGTTCAGATGATCCTTATCTCCAGTCCCCTCTATGTGTTTCAGTTTCTCGTGTGAAATCTCTAACTGTTTCTGGTAATGATGGTGTTTTTCAATTTTTGCTTCAAAGTGTTTCAGTTCCTCCTAAGACAACAAATACACACAGCTTAACAGGATTTTCTTTCTAAGGTTTTTCTTGCCAAGACATCCCTACTGCTATTTTACTAAGTCAAGCACAGAAAGCTTTTTCAGCTCCCTGCTTCTTAAGAATGTCTGGACAGTACATTATCATTACTACCCAAACACTCAATTTTGAAGGCAGATGCTGAAAACTTCCCACTGAGAACATTCCAGTCTGTTTTCCATACTCCATTCAGGACCTCAGTCTGGGGTTTTACTGCTCTGATCTTTTTAGCTGCTCCTCTCAGGTGATGTACCAGCAGAGCAGCAATTCATCTTTCATTATGAAACCCTTATGAACGTTGGTACTGTGGCTGCTCAGGAGAAGACACAACTTCAGCTGCTCAAACAAAGCTGAATGGAATCAGCACACGATTCCTTTAATTCTGCTCCCGTGGACTTTTTCAACAGAAAATGCTTCACCATGATTCTTACTGTCTTACTTTTGTTTGGACGTCCCAACATTCACAGTAACAAGACAGGTTTGGTCTGGTGAAGAGGGTTTGAATGAAGATTTCTACTAAAACAGTAAAATTAATAAGCATGTATGTGTTCTTGCTTATGGAATTGGGATTTTCTTTTTCACTGAAGCAAATACGAAGGCCAAATTTACTTCTCATGCAATTGTGCAGTCCAGACCAAAATGTCCCACTGAGGTCAGCAGAAGCCTTGCTACAGACTTCAGCAGGCTTTCCTCTGATGCTCTTAAAAGCAGGGCCACTGAAATCCATGAAATTAAAAAATTTGATTCATAAGAAAATCAATCTAAGAGAGAAAGATTTCAATCCCTGTCCCAGGCTGTTAAACTCTCTCATGACCTTATCCAGAAAAGAACCTCAAAGTGCCCCTAGTCATGTCTTGGAGGATAAGACAACATCATAAGCACATGCAACCCCATGAAGAAGCCCTGAAGAGTTAACTTCTCCAGGCTATCAATCAAAAACTGTTCTGATAAACAGGCAGAGTCAGATTAAAAAGAAGTAATTCTCAATGCAATTTTAATTAAATAAAATCAGTATGAACCCCACAGGAATTAATTTCTATTACATTTCCTTAAAAAGCAGTCTTTGTCATTTTACTTTTTGGTCAGTTCAACACAGCTGACACAGGAAGTTAGCAGTACAAAAGGTGGGCATGAGAGGGAAACTGTTGGGCATATAGAGCATACTGCTTCCCAACAAAGTAATTACCTTAAGACTCTGAGTGAAAGAGGGAAATCCAGTGCACTGGAAACAAGCAGGACCTGATCTTTCAAAGTTTTAAAATATGCAACGCTTTCTTTCACAGGATTCAGCATTTTTACTTTGCTGATTATGACACAACCTGCATACGACTAGTTACATATATGTTCATATATTTGAAATATTAAGAAGCATTACTCTTTTGTATGGTGTCTGAAGAGCAATACAGAAGTGGCTGCACTCAAAGTAACATTGAGTGTTTCTTTACATGGGAAAATATCTTTCCATATGAGATCTAACTGGAATTCTACTTACCCGGAAAGATTCAAGCTCCTTTTCAGTGAAATTGGCTGATTTGGCCATGTCCCACAAATCAATCACTCTTGGTTCTTCAAATTCTAAACAAACACATACCACTAAATGAAAACCTGGACCCAGTGCTTTTATGCCCAGCCTCCATGCAAGACGAGCATGCTTTCTCACACACTATATACAGAGGTATACTAAGCATTGCATTTCTAGCAGGTCTATTTAGATGAAAAGGGAGGAAAAATCCAAGTACTTAAAAATATAGCATTGCTGTAGCAAGTATTTTTTAAGAAAACAAAACAAAACAAAACAACAACCCCACAAAACCATAGGAACTGAATAATGCACGTTGTCTCACCTACTTGCCCTCCTGGGGCAGAAGGCGTTAATATCCCTTCTCATGTGGGTATGGAAGACAGAACTATCCTCGTTACAGGTTGTCCCTCTCCTTTCATTATGCTTTCAGTATTGGCTTCTGAACAGAACAGGCTGGCTGCATCTCTTCAGCCCACTGTGGTTACACCACATACTGTGATACCGTGACTACATCTTATTACTTGCCCACTGATTTTTTTTTTTAATTTAATCCCAAATAAGTATAAAAACGTACTGTGTCATACCACTGGTTGTGTCATATCCCTGGTGACTGACTTTACGCAAACGCTCAAACCCCTGACTGATGCTTCTTAGCTTGTCTTTGAGTTCTCTGTGTTTGTTGTGCAAGATTTCCTCTTTCACCACGTTCTCTTCAGATGGGTTGATAACATTTTTGTGGATATCTGTTGAAGAAAAAAAGTGTTATTCATTGTGGGCCAAATCCTGATAGGTCAAAATCTCCAGAAACCCTCCAAATCTGAGGTAAGGAAGGAAATGTTTCTTCTGTTTTGTTTTTTTTTTAATAAGGAAATGTTTTTCTTTTCCTAGGTTAGCAATATCCCAAGGAAATGGGATAGGAATGGTTGATAAGTCCTGTGTCCCTGTCCCTGGGCATTTCGTGAACCAATCAGGACATATGATGTTGAAACAACTTCCAACAGCTTCCAACTTGGACTCTACAATTCAAACATCAAATTGCCTATAAGCTTTGGAATACTTTGGCTCTAACAAAATTTTAGCTAGGATTAGTACAGCAGGCTGGCTTCAGATCCTCAATGCTTTAATACACCTCAGGCTCAGTGCCTACGATACTCGAGCATATCCTCTTGTGCTCCCAGCTGGTGAGATAAAACATGCATGTTCTGCAGACTTTAGGACCACAATTTTCAGTAGTGTATCTGTGCTTGATGCACAATGTCCAGTAAACTACTATGGCCACTGCTGCTAATCTGATGCTATCTTCCCTGCTTGAAACACAGGCAGAATCGGAAAACTGAAATGGCAAAATTTTCATTGGCTCGCAAGATTTTTGGCAGCTAATGCAGAACTAAACCCAGCAAGTATCTGGAAATGTCAGCATCTGCAAGCAGTTCTGACAGAAACGTCAGACTCCTGGAGTTTCAAAGAAACTTGGAAACAGTGGAGGCAATGGGCAGAGAAAAGAGTTGTACTGATCTCGAAACGTCAGAGAAATGTACAGGCACCTTCTGTTCTGCTCACAGTCTCCAGCAGAATATTGTATTCATGAATCTTTTCTTTGTGGTGCTTAAATTCTCGCCAAAGCTTATCCAACTCCTCATCAGAGAACTTCCCAGAGGTCTTGGCCTGAAAGAAACACGAGCTCATTATACTTCCCAGGCCAAGTGCTTTTGAGTGCACTCAACTGCCAAAACTTCTTCCCACTTCCCACCACATTCAGAAAATTTTTAAGTCCAGCTTTTCTTTAAGATCTTTTGTTTTAAACCCCTTTATATTAGTATGAGGTCAGGATTTTGACATTGATGGATATCATGGCTTTAAGCATGTCAAAAGGAAGCTTGCTTCAGACTTAAGAAGCTAGACTTGCGATGGACTACCCAGTGAAAAGTGTCTGTCATTTCTATTCCATGGGAAACAATTTGATACAGAAATAAGGGCCATGGAAGTCTGTATGCAACTGCAAATGGACTGTTTGCATTAAGGATGCAGCCTGATATTAAGCACAGTCTTTACTCAAGAAATCTTACTCTATGGGCAAGTGAAGATTTTGTCACTGCTATGCATTTGCTCTGCAGTGATTTGTTCCTCATTGGACTTTTTACCTTTTAGCAACTAGGGAAGCACTGGTCAGACAACTGGAGCACTGCCTACAAATCTAGTGACCTGCTGAGCAAAACTGAATGTTTTTGATACCTATTAAGCCCCAATCCTTTTTTTGCCTAGGGAGTATTTATCTTTGATGCACTTTACTCTTCCCCAAAGCACACGACATCATGTCCTTTGCCAGAGCTGTACCTAGTTACAGCAACATTTTAAAACACAGCAAATCTTTTTCTCTGCTTTATTACCACTGCACTAGACTGGTCTAAGAATTCTTTACTTCACCTGATAGCTTGCTTTTAAACCCATGAATTATTTCACTTTTGAAGATTATGATTTTGCCAGTTTTAACTGCCAAAGCAAACAGGACAGTTCCTATTTTTTATGCATTAATGCAAATCCTGGAAAGTTTCACTTGAATAACAGGCGGGGAATGTCCTTATTTAACACCCTCCACTATACATTTTATTTTTAAACATTCTATGAAATGGTTTTAAATATATCTTTTTCAAAAAGCCCAGAAACAAGAAGAAGAAAATCAGGAAAAACAGCAAAGGTTTTCTACCACACAGCCTACCAGTCACACAAAAGAATATAATGAGTTCAGCGAAATCTGAGGGAAGACTCTGCCCTTAGTGGACTCAGGATCTTACTCTGATGCACATGTTTTCTTTGACAAAGGGAACCGGCCACACCTGGTGACCCATGTTATGATGTGAGCTACAGAGCATAGCAGCTTGGCCAGTAGTTAAAAACCGTGTAATAAAGCCATTCAGTTCTAAGACTCGTGACTCTCAGAAGACACTGACTGTAGTTCAACGGAGAAACATTGATTTTCTACACTGCAGTTCCTGGAAATCTTACGCACCTTGCTCCATAACTTTTCCAGTCTTGGATCATCTAGTGTATCACTTTCTGTACTGTCTTTAATGTAGTTGGTATCAACTAGTTGAGAGTCCTTCTTCCCATTCATTCCATATTTAGTCATAATGACTGCAGGAAAGCAGAAGATACAGAAACATTAGAACCATGGATGTATGGAAGATGAGAGAGTTGCTACATCCTTGACTTGCAGAGCTGGATTTTGCAGCTCATGGTGGATAGTCCCACAGTTTAAGACACAGAGGTCCCAGGTTTAATGACCTCTTCTGAAAACATCAGGAGCAAAAGAAGCTGTTAGCCTCTTGCAGCTCCCTACTAATCTCCAAAGAACTTGTGTGCGCTCAGTCTTGAAAAAGAACCTGTTATTTAATGATTCAAACTTAAGCGTCTAACCATGCAAGTGTCTGATGCAAAGTCTAAACCTCTAATGCAAATATATATCTTACCATTTAAATTGCGTCTAAGTTTGGCTTCTTTCTCTCCATCTTCATCTAGCCCCTCAGCCTTCAGCTTCTTCCAGCTTAGCTCATCCTTTTCTTGTATTTTTAGATCACTGTGCAACTCTGCCAGTTTCACGGCAGAGAGATGAAGCTAAGGAGAACACAGAAAGGTTTATATGCAGTCATGTGGACTCACCTCTTGCTGCAATATTACCTCAGAAGCCAGTATAGCACAGCGTTTGTTTCTCTTACTCTAATGCTATGTATCCATCTGAATTTAAGGGCCTTAAGGTACGAGCCACTGCATACATACATCTCTTGCCTATGAGCATGGCTATTCCCCCAGAATACCAGTGTTAACAGAGAGTGATCATGCTGCCTTCTCCTCAGCTCTTCAGCTACGTGAACAACAATGAAATTACATAAGGTTTAAAAATGCGTGTCTTTTTTGGGTGTTCCTTCAAGTAATACTTAAATGGGATTTTTTTCTTCTTTTAATGGGAACACCTTCTAAAAATGATTCTACTTTAAAAATGTACAGTACCAACAGCAAAGAATGTAAAAAAATAATTAAATCCACTCAGTTTCATTAGTTCACAAGAGGCAGTAACGACCAAACTTCTCAAACAACATGTCATTGCCACCCTATGTGCTTCTCGTGGCCACCTTCTGACCATGTTGTTATAGTGAAATCAGTAAATTTTATTTATCAGTATGGTTTTGAAGACTAGTAGGACACTGAGGATGGCCTTGCAGGTCAAAGAGCCACTTATTTGCAATTTTTACTATGATCAAAGTGCAAAATTTTCTCAGGTCACTTCTTAACGTGGTTTATGTGCATTAACATACAAAATCTAGAATTACTCCTATCTCACATCAAAGAACAAAAAGATCAGATGCTGAGGCTGATGAGGTGAAAAAAAGAACAAATTAAAGGAATGATAGTTCAGCTTGAAATTTTGTGAAATACAAAGAAAACAGGAACTGAGACAATGACTAATACGCAGTTGGCTAAATAGCACTGCTGCCAGATAAGCTTAAACTTTTAGACTTTCAGATTTTGGACATTTTAGTTAGTTTAAAACAAAGAAATGTAACAAATCATATTAATGCTTCAGAACTTGATATGTGTGTGTGTGTGTGTGTGTTAATAACAAGTAGGTGAGACAAGGAAAAGCCCAGAGAAGAGAGGCGATCAAAACCCACGTCAGCAGTGAGATTTCCAGTACAATTCTGCCTGAAGGTTGGAGTCCTTCTGCCTCAGACCACTGAGAAGCCAGATCCAGCTGGGCTCACTTGTCCTAGGACAAACTTATTTACTGCAGGGTCCTTTTTGTCATTAAAGATTGCAGATTATAAAAATTCTCATTTTCAGTGAAGCAGCAGTATGTTAATAAACACGGACTCAGTTATATTTAAGCATCAGAATGATACTGAAAAGGTTCAGCCATTCGAGTGTCAGTATGTTATTTGAAAATAACTAGGAAAAATGTCATTATTTTGAGGAAACGCACTAAATTTCTAGTGGCAGGAATTCAGGTACCTATGCACATTACTGTTTTGACTATCAGCTTAGGCTGTCTCACTAATTAGTCTTGTGCTACTGAATATTTTAACTTTTAAACTAAGGGTTTTTTTCTGTGTCTTGCACTTAGCTCACTGAAATAATTTACTAAAACACAGAGCAGTTAGAAACACAGGTAAATCACATTTATAGAAAACATTAAAACTCCTGATTCATCAAATACTAAAGCAAAGGTGCATCCCTATTGTCTACTTTACCATCTACTTGTGGGGAACTGTTTGATAAAGCTAAGCACTTAGAAGGAACCATTTTATTTATGATTTTTAGTATGTGCTAAAGTCAAAAAGCCTTAATTGTGTACTTATTTGTTTTTCTGGAGCTGGATGACCTGGACAGCTGGAATGTCATTGCTGCAGTGGCACCAAGTAACAATGGTGCAAGAATTGCACCCTGATGCTTCAGAAGGAAGATGAGTGAAAAGTTTGCTATGACTTGTGAAGGAAATGACTGATAATTCACGTTTTATGACTTAGTATGTGGTTAGGCTGAGCAAATCCAAGAAAAAAACCTATGTATTTTATGTTAGATACTCTCTGAATCTCATAAACACAAACTGTTTTGTGTTTCCTAGAAGTTCCAGAGAAGAATATCAGAACTTCTAAACATAAAGTCTGGAGTCAAAGTCAACCAAACGTTTTAAACTCTTAAATCAAAATAAGGAACTACACTAAGCTCATTGTTCCTTAAGGGAAAAAAGAAAGAGTATATTCAAATTTCTCCCAATTCCAACAATATTTTCTGATTCTTATAATTTTGCATGAAACTCAAATAACTGTCCTTTTAAACATTATAAATCCTTTGAAACCCACTGGAAGCCCCTCGCCTGTCCCATTCCTGGAAAGCCTGGAAATCAAACCCGCCTGGA